AAGGTGTTATCCTGATAAGAAGGTGGAATGTGGGATACTCACAAATAACTCTGTTTTTACTACTGAGGATGGCAGACGGCCTTTTCATTCATGAAAGCGAGGGCAACCTAGTGAAATGAAAGAAAAAGTTGAGTGCGTATTGGTTCTTCGTCTCTTGGGTGAACAGTGTCTCGAACCTCGCCCGCTTCTTTCACCTCATTCTCTTGCTGGGGAGCTCTTAGCCAAAACGCAAACACGAATGCCGTTTGTACATAGCTCAGTCATTGCTTTCCCGAGAAGTTTTAGCTTTGTACTGTCATTAATTACTAACCGGTGGTTGATAGACGAGAAAAGACTGCACATGAAGAGAGTCACCAGCAACAGGAGTGAGAAAGTCATCGGTTTCTTTGGTTGTTTGCCAAGTGTGGTGTGGACTGGTTCCGTTAGTTCAGTTGTGTGGTGCAGAAGTACAGAAGGAATAGAAGTGAACTTCTGTCAATTAATCAAACATATGACTAATTTTGTACTTAGATTAGGCCTCGATTTATAGTGGAAATTTAAGGTTTCCGAGGCTCTGCATGCTAGCGATGCTTCATCAGCTCGTGACGCTCTGCTGCAATGGGCCCGAAAGGTAAGAATGTGGTTCACGTCAGACTCGGTAGTCTTTATGCCGATTGTTGTTTAAGGTCACCAGCGGTTACCCTCGTGTGAATGTGACCAACTTTTCGTCGTCCTGGAAGGATGGTCTTGCGTTCAATGCCATTCTACATCGATACAGACCGAATCTCATCGATTGGAACAAGGTGAGGTCCTTGGTAGTTTTACAACCGCACATTCACTTTTCTGCCGAAGTTGAGATTCGCTCGTAACGTTTTTCTTCTCCTTGCCTAGGTCAGAGCTTTGAGCGTGCTAATGCAATAAAAGCGAATGCGCTATTTGACTCGACTCTGGAAATGTTAGGATAAAAAATGTTAGTTATGTGAGTCACTAAGCATACAGGTTAATAGCCTCGTGGTGAGTGGGTCACGGAGCCCCGTCCAGCACATTATAGGACGTTTCATAAATAAACTTCTGCGGGGTTTATGTGCTGGGTTTTACTTCTGAATCAATTGAAGGCGCTATCGCAATATATGGGGGCATTGTGGTGGCATTGCATTTGAAACTGCGTAAAAGGTTTCCATTTTGTTAAAAAGGGGACTCAGCCTTAGGTAGAGGAGACGAGACTTCAGGGTGCGTGAGCCATTCTTCATTTTCCCCGGGTTCCCTTTCTCTCCTTGGCTCAC